CCACCCACCACCTTTTGCGCAAGTGCGGAACATGAGCATATTTCTTTTTTTCAGACCATGGGTTCTAAATTTGTTTCACAATTTAACAACTACTTTTACTCTTATGTTTTGATCTGCACCCAACACAGTGCTTTTTCCCCTCTTCTTTTCCCTTTTATTACAAACACCAAAAACAATGCTGTATTGGGTGCCAATTTTTATTACGTGTCACCATCAAAACAAAATTCCTTTTCCTGCCTCCTTCTTCTTCTTTACCTTTCTTATAGTATTTCACTATTATCAAGGATCTCTTTTTCCCTTTTTTATTTTCTCCTTCTTCCTTTACTTAATTCTTTCTTTTATTTTATAAGATAACAAAACTTAATTTATGAGCCAGACTAAACACGGCTTACTCTCCTCCTTTATTTTATCCCCTTTTCTCCATTTTTCTTCCCTTTTTTGTTATTTTTTTTTTTAATCTTTTCCTTTTTTATCTCCTTTTTTTTACCTTCCTTAGGGCAATGTACAAAAGTAAGGCTGAACTAGTTAGCCCACTTATTATTATTAGCCAACAATTCTCTCCTACCTATAATTTTTCTTTCTCCTATTTTGCAACTGCTCTGTTGGGTTTCTGCCTATCCCTGCTATCCCCTCCTCCCCTTCCCACGTGATCGCTTCTCCTATTTTGCAACTGCTCTTTTCGGATTCCGTCTGTCTCTGCTATCCCTGCCTCCCCTTCCCCTGTGTTTGCTTCTCCTATTTTGCAACTGCACTGGCTCAAAAGGAGGTTTTAACCTCCGAAGTCCCTACCGCCCACCTGGAATCCTGAAACGCCCACTAGGGACCAGGTTGACGACCCGTGGCCTAGAGGCAGGAGCTCTTGCCTCACAATCAGGAGGCTGTGAATTCGATCCTAGGGAGAGGCAAATATTTGTCTCTCTCTGGGCGGAATGAGAATATATCTGCTGAACAAAACTCCACATTGACAACAGGGAAGAGCAGCCGGCCAGTAAATACTCTGCTAGTTCCATTCGGTTGCCCAGATTCCACCCCACAAGGGATTATGGGGTTGTTGAAAGACGATGATAATTTAGTGACCGTTTGAAGTTACAACAGCACTGAAAGCACTGACTGATGATCGTTTTTCACGCTTAACAGCCGTCGTAGTATCCCTGGGATCCAAATTCCGATGCTTGGCAACTGGTTCGTACTTATGACGGTTGCAGTGTCCTGGAGTCCCGCAACCCTCTTTTTGCGACCTTCTGACGAGCCAAGTCAACAGGGAAGCCGGATTCGCTTAACAACCGCGGGACTAACTTAAGCGCTGCGGTAATTCGCTTAACCACGGCGGGAAAGAAAAGTGGTAGAACGGAGCGAAATTCGCTGAACTGTCTCGCTTAGTGGTAGAAGTTCTGGATTTGATTGTGGTCATAAGTCAAGAACGGCCGGTAGTGAAACAATGGAGCAAGATACACCATGGAGGAGCGGGGGGGGGGGGCTTACCGTATCCACTAGGCGCCGTCTGTCCTCTGTCTTCCCCACGTGACACACCAACCCGGACACGCTGAGGTTCTCGGCCTTCAATTCGGCCACTGCCCGGTCCACGTTGGCCTGATTCCGGCTACTCACCAGCACCTTGGCCCCGTCTTGTGCCAGCCGGCGTGCGATGGCAAAGCCAATTCTGCCAAGACAGAAGCACGATACAGATTGACCCCCGACTTACAACCGTTTCATTTAGTGACCGTCCGAAGTTACCAGGACGCTGAAAAAATGAGCGCTTTTCACACTTGTGACTGTCGCACTCGTGGTCCAAATTTGGCAACCGACTCATCTTTATGACGGCTGCAGCGTCCCGGGGGGAGGGGGTGTCACATGATCCCCTTTTGCGACCTTCCGACACACAAAGTCAAGGGGGAATTGCAGGGATTCAGTTAACAACGGTGGCAAGTCATAAAATGGGGTAAAATTTGCTTCACAAATGTCTCGCCTAGCGACAGGGATTTGGGGCTCAACTGTGGTCGCAAGTCGAGGACTACCTGTAATAGGATGCATCCAGCAGGAGTCCTTTTCATGCCATTCTTGGTGTCATTGTGCAGATAAAACAGGTACGGCTAGTCCTCGACGTACGACCATAATTGAGCCCAAAATTTCCGTCGCTGAGCGAGACAGTTGTGAAGTGAGTTTTGCCTCATTTCGCAACCTTTCTACTCACCGTTGTTAAGTGAATCACTCCAGTGGTTAAGTCAGTTACACGGTCATTAAGGGAATCTTGCTTGTCTACCCCAAGGGTAAACGATATAGGGAGTCCTCGACTTACGACTGAAATGGAGCCCTACATTTCCATTGCTAAGTGAGACATTTGCTACGTGAGCTTTGCCCCGTTTTATGACCTTTCTTGCCATGGTCATTAAGGGAATCGCTGCGGCTGTTAAGTCAGTCGCGCGGCCATTAAGTGAATCTGGCTTCCCCAATTGATACGACGGTCGCAAAAGAGGATCGCGTGACCGTCATAAACATGAACCAGTTGCCAAGAGCCTGAATTTGGAACATGTGACCCTGCTGGAAAGGTCTTAACTGTGAAAAACGGTCGTAAGTCCCTTCTTTCGGTGCCGTTGTAATGTTGAACGGTCACTAAACGAACTGTTGTAAGTCGAGGACCATCTGTACAGTATACAGGGAGTTCTCACTTAACAATCACTGAAGTTATGACAGTCATTAAGTGAGGACTGCCTGTATACAGTATATACCCGGGATGGTGAACCTATGGTACCGGTGCCAGAGGTGGCACACACAGCTGTCTCTGTGGGCACATGCCATTTTCTGGGCTGCTTTTCAGATTGTTTTTTGCCTGAAAAAGGCCCCAAAATGGCCTGGAAAAGGCCCGAAAAATAGCTTGAAAACAGCCCGAAAAAGGCCTGAAAAAGGCTCGAAAAATGGCATGAAAATGGCCCAGAAAAGGCCTGAAAAAGCCTGAAAAATGGCCTGAAAACGGCCCAAAAAAGGCCTGAAAAATGGCCCGAAAACAGCCCCCAAAAGGCCTAAAACTGGGCAGAAAAATGGCATGAAAATGGCCCGAAAAATGGCATGAAAAATAGCCTGCCTGGTCTGAAAATCGCCCCTTTTAGGCCTAAAACTGGCCNGTGGCAGGAGGCTCTGCCCACCTGCCTGGATGCTACTGCACATGTGCAGAAGCATCGCGCACGCGCAGCAGTGCACCCAAACCGGTAGAGAAATTGGCAACCCATCTCTGTGACAAGCCACATAGGAAATGTATACGTGCTATGTCTAGTGAAATTCAGTAAATCAATAAGATTGTTTCCATTTGATTACAACAGTGCTTGATGTAAAAGGGACTTCTGTCAGTGCATTAGAGAAAGAGGCAGACTTCGAAGTTTTCTCCTCTTCCCAAATCTCTTTAAGATTGGGGATCAATCTTCCAAAACAACATGGAGAATGCAGGAAGAGGGCAATTACTGACAATTACATCCTTTTTTCCACTGACGAGGCTTCTGCTGAATCAAAGAACATCCTGCCTGTGAAGGGACACTAATTGGATGCAATTCTAAACCAATAAGTACTTTTCTACCACACTATCCATCTGGTATATAGTTATTTGCTATCTCTATACTTGACTCACCTTTTGCTTGCCATTGGAAACAATATAATGGCTCTATTTAATGGGTTTTTATGTATATATTCCTTCCCTTAGGATTATGTGTACCATTTTGTAAGTGCAATCTGCGAATGGACAGTAGCCTTCGGCTTTGTGTTCTTCTTCTTAACGTATATCAGAGACTTTCAGGTAAGCAGGCACAACTATCAGGAGGGCAAAATTCATTGAAGTAATTTGTGTAGTAAGGGATTTGCAACCAAAAAAAACCTGGTTGCAAATTCCTCACAGCCCACAGGTTGCAGACCTCTAGTGCAGCCTCTTTATAGAGAGACCAATAGTTACAGATCGCATCCCTGAGTACTTGTCTGAGCTGAAGTCCAGTGACTGGTGTACTAGCCACTCATGTTGCAAAGTATATGTGGACTTACTAGAACATGAGTTTATTAGAGATTTTGAAAGTTGGGAGAATGGGTAAAGCTATAATGTTTCAGAAATTTTCCAAGTTCATTTGGGTAGGAATTATTGTAGAATAGAAAGAAGGGGGAAACAAATAGTGGCTGATTCACCTAATTCATTTAGCTTAATTTGGTTCAGGCAATAAAGCA